TGGGAATGAGGTGAAATGAATTTCACGATAATAAAAAAATTCAAGAATACAATTATGAAAAAACATATATATTACCTTTCACATGTAGGAGAGTGAAGGACAGAAAATAAAATTATATGATTTTAATTTTTATAATGCCATAATGTAAAACAAATGTAATGGCGACGAAAACGTGTACTATAACAGTCGACATTCCATCCGAGGTAAAATAATGTATTTCTGTATGAGAGTCTGCACCATTTCTGTATGATTTCAACACCATTAAGAAAGATTTGCGAGCGCAGGGAAAAAGTGGGTCACGAGGCCAAAATTGACCTATACTTTTTAAAAAGTTATTTTTTAGAAGCTGAAAAAGGCAAAGTTCAGAAAATGTTCATAAGTCAATAATTGCCATGTCTCACTCTAAATAGCCTTCTTAAAAGTAGTCTTACAAATGTTGTAAATCTTAGTAGATTTGAGTGTCGATTTCGTTCATCTACAGCAAATACAAGTTTTACTATTAAATAACCAGCTCCTGATAGTGTGAAAATGTCTTCTATTATATCTGTTAAGCTCTTTTTCCAGAATTGATCTAACAGAATGTCCAGTGGAAGTTTTATTGGTTCTTCGTTGTTAATTACTGATACAGAAAATCCTAAAGGTTTTTTATATCGAGCGTCTGTATAGGAAGCATCATGTTGTACACTTTCGACCAAACGATCTTGCTTTAAATAATTCAATATTCTATCATAAATCCAATTTTCACATAGATGTATAGCATAGGAAACAAGTGTATGATGTTTATTAATTAATAGTTGGGTCATTGTATCATGTTCAAATATCATCTGTTTAATAACTGGCCATCGTCGTTGAAGATCGAATATAAAATGAAAGAAAATACTGACAACGTCTAAAGCACTCATACCACTAAGATCGATCTCATTTTCATCATTTCCTGCATATGAAATAATATGATTCCAATCATCCCACCAACTCTTATTATTTTGTTCAATTATTAGTAGATATTCATACATCTTTTCTATCCATAAATCATATTTTCCCGGTAAGTAAATAGGACACTGTTCGTCAAAGTTTTTTAATTGTAATTCATGAAATTCTTCAACCATTTCAGTATAAAATGTTATAACATTCGATGTTAGTGTGATTTGTTTATTCGCTTGTTGTTGTGGAGCTATTTTCACATTTTCTAAAGCAACATAAGCTTGTTTAAGTATCTGTAGATCATAAGCAGCTAATATGTTCAATTGTTCAATAAAATAATGTAGACATACGCCTTCGTTTAGCTTCTGACGAATGTAATTAACACAGAACATAGTTAAATGTTCTTGTCTGTTTTTATAATCTTTATCAAGATCAAATTGTTCGCACATCCATAAAACACATGTTTTGATAAAGAATGATTGTATAGTAAAATGTTTTAGATATTTATAATAGATACCGCGTGCTATTTTATTTAATAATTTTTCAGTATTTGAACGAGATTTTGCTAAAACCGTTTCAACAGCTGAAAATGATAAACGAAATTCATAGGATGCTGCGTTGTCTTGTGTTAACTTCGACCATTTTGGTATGGCATATACCGGTAAACATTTTATTTTGTTATACAGATCATGTTTATGACATCTTAAATAATTCAGTCTTGTATGTGTTATTTTTGGCCAAAAATTAAGTTTTAATGCGATAACAATATCACAATCTTCGGCTGAACTTTTGTGTTACAATCAGATCTAATAAACATTGTCGAGCATCTTCGTCTACTATATGACGATATTTTTTATAAAATTCCAATAGAAACTGAATTTTACGAACGAAATTTGATGGTATTGGTATACCAACTAAGGATGAATAAAGTGTTTTATAAAGATTAACAATTGTTTCTATTCGTTTACGTAACTTTTCAGTATAAGAATCCGGTAATTCAATATGAAATAAGTCTTTAGAAAAATTACATAGAAATTCTTTTGCTTTACGATTAAATAGATCCGATAGAAATAAACAAAATTGCTTAATATTTTGTTGACCAATCTGTTTTTGTTCTTCAGTTAAATTGTTACGGAATGCTAGTACTTTTTGAAGAGCATCGGGATCAACTGGTGGCAAACCATCAGAAAATTGAAAGTATAAACTTGCTTTATCGACTGATGTCGATGATGATTTGGTTGTGCGCGTATTTTGTTCATTTATTTTTGAATAAATATCTGTTTTTAATTTATTACCATTAATATATATCTGATCATTAATGGAACCGCAGGAAAATTTCTTGATTCTAGCACCATAAATTCTGATGTAACCCGGTGCTTCAGCTATGTATTCTATTTCATTCTCATTATCGATTTGAGCTTTTAATATAAGCATCAAATCATACTCGGTGAGAATATCATCGGCAACATATTTCGCTTCATATTGTCCATCTGCCATACTTCCAGCTAAATGCAAGGGAACTGGAAGATCGTCATATGAGAAACTTTTATTAAGTATTGATCCCATTCTTATTCTGCTTGTTGTTGTACACGTGAGTGAATATATATAATTCAATGGGAGTGAGTAAGCAGTAGAAAAGTTTGTTCCTTCTGAGAAGGAGAACAAAAAGAATTTTGTTGAATATTCCCAACAATGTGTCAAAATATGAAAAGAAATTTATTAAACAAATGAAAAAAAGCCGGAAGTGACTTATTGCATTTGTCCAAGCCGAGAATTTTCAGCTATAGAATTCACTTTTACAGCTTTTTCATGGTTAACAGAAAAATCTCGAAACTAAAAATCACAAAGAAGCTGCGACAACAAGATCCATCGTATTCATCTATTCAAAATTCAAAAGCAAAAAGTAAATTTTATATATATGTTGAAGAAGGAGATTTTGGTTCGTTATTCTCGTTTTCTGCTCTTTCTGTTTTTAAGTATCAAAGCATTACCGAAACATCAGAAACTTTCGCGAATGTATCGGTACATTCTTTAGCGAAGAGGACTAATTTCGCAGATTCAAAAAGTATCAAATTTTGGGTTTCTAATGGCGCGTGCAGATCATAAAGCTTCAGTTTCATCGTAGTTTATAGGTTGAACAGCCAACGCTGAGTAGAATTCTGATCTATCAAAAAACGTTTTTGACCGTAATTCTATATCCGTGTATCTAACTCCAATCCTACCGGCAAGTACTGCAGCTAAATCATCCCGCAAAGAAGAATGATACAGCATTGGACGAAGATGAGGAGCGTCAGTTTCTAATATTATTCGTCCAAAGACTTTTGAATGTTTTATCAGCCACGATTTCATTATTTTGTCTTCTTGTGGATCCTGGATATAAGAAAATGTGCCTATCGTAATTGCTGCTAGAAATCGATGTAAAGTAGTATGTTTTACGATCACTGGAAGAGGAAAGGGCAGAATTGAAGCGGTAACGTACAGACAAAGTTAAACGGAGCTTGTTTTTGGGAATGAGGTGAAATGAATTTCACGATAATAAAAAAATTCAAGAATACAATTATGAAAAAACATATATATTACCTTTCACATGTAGGAGAGTGAAGGACAGAAAGAAAAAAAGTAAAGACAAAACCCTGTGTAGATCTTTTAATGGTCATGTGACCTATTGAATCACGTAAGGTTTAAGAGTTTATCATCTACCGAAACGGAGTTGATAGGTCCGCAACCGGTAGATGTCACAATTTCACCTCTCCGTAGAAAATGGGGAGACGAAGCTATCCGATGATAAGTGAACAACTTCAAAACATCATTTTCTGATATAGTTTTTCATGGGGAATCTAAAGAAAAAATTATTTGTTCCTTTAAATGCAGAGAAATAGGAGAAAAACGACATTTATCTAAAAACGTCGGTTTTTGCAGCTTCAAGGATTTTACAGTTTTTGCCCTTTTTGACCAGAAAAATCGATTTTTTCTCCAGAAATTATACATATTCGGAATCAGCATAAAATTCCACGTCTGGTGATGTACAACTTGTTGGGAAACAAAATTATGGTCCTCCTTTGAATTACGGGTGCCTTAGCGAACGAAATTCATCAAGAGTTGCATTGTTACTTTTTGTGATAGAGAAGTAGTTTAATAGTGAATATTTTTCTTCGTTCTCGGCTAATTCGTTGACAAAACCGTTAAAAACCGGCTCAGCATTTTCTTTGGGGACAAAGTCGATGAATGCTACTATGTATTGTTTTATTTCGTTGGGAAGTGTGCTTGAAAACGAGTGTCTGTTCGATATGTTTCTCAAACTATACAACGTTCTGGTTCGTATTGCCGCTGATATGTATATTAGCGTTCATCATATGATTAACAATTTTATACAAACAGATACGATAATCATTTGGTGAACTAATGATATCCCCAATAATCTGCAATCTTTTTCGTAGTGGGCGCTAAAGTAAGATAGCCGATTTTCGTTTCCCTGGATATATTTGAACTGATACAGCATCATCATCATCATCACATGTGTAAACATATGCAATAACCGAAACGTTATTGGCTTTAAGTGATCGACGATATCACCTCAACAGAATTTTCCGCTTTAACAGATTGAACATGATATCCATGTCGATTTGTCTGATCATATTTCGCAATATATTGATCAATTGCTCGAAAGCCTTCTTTAATTGACATTACCGCAGACTTCAAAATAATACATGAATTAGCAATTTTTTGAACACTGATAAATAAATTTCCCTCCAGACACAATGTGTTTTGTATTTAACTGTCCCTGCGCTCCTTTTTTAACTCGTCGCATTTGAGTTAAAGTAGCACTATCATTTGGATTTAATCGAGAAGACATCTTTTCATCATATGCGCATTCTAATCAGCGAGCATCTTTCTATCAGGCGAGTACAGTAAACTGTTGATGTATGTTGAGTTTCTTGCAGACTTTGATGACAAAAGTAAGGCATAGATATTCAACACGATAAAACGAAGATGGACTTCTGTACTTGACATACTGGATCTCAGTTGAAAATACGAATTGTTTTCGAAGTGTCTACTGACGCGTGAGCGAAAAGATAAACTGATAACCGATCGACTCAAAATGTACAAATAACTGTTGTTGTAGTTCGTTTTCAATAAGCTGAAAAAATGCGACATCGATCGACGAGCTTTTTACGATATGGAAACGAGAATAATATTGAATAAACCACAGATAAAAACTATATGTCAGCTGCATATTTCTGTTACATTGATTGATTAAGTTTTTTAATTTCTCAATGACTTTTGTTTCTCTGAAAGCTCTACTCGCATTCAAGTATTCTTGTCTGCATTCAAACAACGGTATCGATGATATTAGTTTAATTAATTTATTTAACGAGGATTGTAATATACAATAAACTTTTCTTCTCTACATATAACAATAAATAGAGTAGCACAAGAAGTAAAGAATGTTAAGTGAATCTTTTAGTGTCAACGATGTATTTGTGGACATTATTTACGATAAGGATGTTTTGTTCTGGGGTAAGGTTAATTG